CAGGCCACACCTTGTACAGTGCTCCTATCCTCTTTTATTCCTTGAAAGATCATTGATATATTCCCCTTGATGAATAGCCATTCAGCTCAGTGCATACCCGTGGAATTCGGCCACCTTTTCCACGGAACCTTCTACCCAAAAAAAATAAAAATGGTAACAATGGAAACTGCGTGCGCGATAAAAAGTCTCAAAAAACCTGCAACCCTAGCCAAGCGAGGCCTAGGCACTGGGACCATACGAGATGCGCATATTCATCTACATCTCCCATCTTTGTAACATTCGAGGCCATCTTGATCCAATCCACCATCTCCGTATCGGGTGCTGGGTACGCTCCGGAAACTCATCGGATGGCTTTTTCTCCATGATCAAGGGTGGGTGATGAGTAGGGCTCCGACCCTACCATCTGATCCGATCATGGTTAGCTTCATGATAATGGTGATAGGGGAATGTGTAGAGAGATGAAGACGATACAGACCGCGAAAGCGATTGGGAATCCTCTTCGAAGTGAGGACTTTGTTACTCAATCTCGGCTCTGCAGACTCTACAGTGAGAGCTGGAGGTTCGTAGGAGACATCACTGACAGGTGTTGAGAAAAGTCCCCCTGCTGGAACATGAAACTACTACTCTTCCGATAGAAATCTACTTGAAGCAAGAAAGGGCTCAGTGTTTAGGCCGCTCAAATTTTCTACCAGTTCAAAAGACTATCCAATCAGCATGTGCTAAAATAAAACTTCCCAGAAGAAGAGAAGATATTAGAGCACACAATAGAAGAGCAGTCCTTGAATACTGGAAAGAGATTTGCGGATAGGAGAAATCCAAGGACTTACAAAAAGAAGCGGTAAAAGTTGCAGCGTATCTAGAACGGGCGAAATCTTGGTCAGCCACAAAGCGAACTAGACAGTCTAATAGATTTGCTTCAGCAGGTCCTAAAACCTGGGCAGCAGTAAAAATCTACCAATGCCGTCATTCTGGACGTACAAAAATAACCGTCCGGGAATCGCCATTTTCTCTCCACAAAAACCTGACGACGGCTCAAAGTAGCTTAGCAATTCATATTCGAAGCAAGCATATCGGGCTCAACTCCTATTTGCATAGAAGAAAAATTCCAGAGGTCTACAATCCATACTGTCCTTTTTATTTTTGCATCAGATTTTAATTGCGTATGCAGCTATCTAGCTATGACACAATATCAAGGAAAAGTACAGAGAAGATGACCCAATTTACAAGAGGAGCACTCATGCCTCGGATTTCATTTGCAAGTACCACTGCGAAGTTGTGGTGGCTTTTTCTTCACCCCAAGTGAACCCTCATCCGTGAATACCCACCCAGGAGAACGTCTCAAAAACCCTGAGTTATCCAGAAATGCCTCCGTCATCTTTCAACTTTCCTCTGCGCGATATGTGATTTGAGATGTATCCTTCCCAAGTGGAGTAGGTGCCCATGCTACTCAAACTATACCAGACAACACCACCAGGAGGCGGACCACAACACCTTCCATCGTTTGCTTGTTTTTATGGTGTCAGCTGCACTCTCGCAAGCGAAGTCTTGGCGCGCACAAAGCTCAATTCGTAAAACTCTTGGCAAAATTCGAAATTTCACGCCCGTCGAAAACGTATCCCTCTTCTGCATCATCTTGTGAACTTGTCCTGATCCCTCTCACGTCCATCCCAAAGAGCTATCTCCCAGATTTGTGCGCCACGCTTTGCTTCCTCCGTCGGGTGTAAAATTCGGCGTGGGCGTGTATTTGGTGACCAGCTAAGGCCAGAGAAAGTCGACGAGAGGTGTGGTCATTGAAACAAGGATGTACTAGGTCGTAATTGTAGACTTGATGAAGCTCAGTTGATAATCGTACTCTTTGGGAGTGATAGATTGACATGGTTGAGTAATCTGAATTTTTGCCTCGTGGGCCAACTTCTTTGATATTGCGAAATTTGACTGAACTTGGCTCTGGGAGAATATTTCACTCCCAGGTTCGTAGAGGACACCACGTACAGGTGTTCAGTCTTGCCCTCCATCCATGCTGTCCGTGTGGCTACCAAACACAAAATCCCAAGCATATGATCATGTGCTGCCCTTCCGGTCCTTGACTCCTAGGAGATATAGAGCATAGCTTAGGAACTAAAATTTATAAAAAAAAAAATGTGCTGCCCTAAGTGGTCAATTGGTAGAGGAGAATTCTGAAGACAAGCCCGAAATCGCTCCTTTGAAGCAATGACCAACAATCCTAGCGATATGAAAAGAATCACACGATGGATTCATAATCATGGTTGGATAGATCAATCTCGCTTGACCAATGCAGTCGAAATGCTGCTCAGGGAACGAGACGGAACATGTAGAAGGTTGGGGTCGATAGAAGGGACGTGATTGGTATACATCGACGGCGTAACAGTTTAACTGTACTTCCTGAAGGATAAACTGCAAACTGTAAGAGCTAAATCAAAAAGCTTGGGGGTATTTGCCGTGAGGAGTCCTCCTATGTAAATATATAGATAGGTTTACAGCCACCTGCATCGGCCCATAGGGCGCCAAATCAGGATAATGAATACAAAACAAAACGGCACGGTCCGGTAACGGCGACTTCGCGGACTAACATCGACGGTTTCAGCACGCAAACGCCATTCTAATCTGCCCATGCGGAGAGGAGAAGTCCTCCAACCACTTTTTCTATTGCCACCTCGGGCAATCCCAGGCTCAGCTCCACAAGGCACAGAATTCTAATCACAGCGTATCTTGGGCTCTTGCTTCGGCGGAAGGAGTTAATGCATTCAATAGCTGGGTGCGTATCACAAGTTTCTTCGAAAAGGCACAACAACAAGTCTGATTCGAACGAAATCACGATTTGACGTAAAGCAATTTCCTCTTTTCTTTTCTGTAAAATCTTTTCTTGATTTAGTACACACTGCATGGCACAAGATTCGTTGGACGGACGACCTTCATGTACACTGTAGTTTTCGAGCGTCGGATGATAAGATCCTAGCTATTGTTTGCTTTGTTGGGTCTGTGTAGGCGCCAACACGTCGGGTAGTTTAATTTAACCTGGGCTAACCGGTACGTGAGGAACTCACGTGCTGTTCGCGGGCACGACGTTGAATATTATAAATAAAAAACAAATTAAATTAAATCAACACGATAATACGTGCTCCGAAGTTCTCCGGTACGATCGCCATTCTTAATGTCATGTCTATCTCTAAACTTTCGGTACTCATGCACTCAGCGATGGAACAAGGCTCCGAGCTGAATGTCTACCAAAGGTGCATCAAATCTATTCCACTTTCGCTTGGGCCAAGCAACTACCGGACAAGATCGCTAATCTTCTCAACGGCGGACATGGACATGCTAGTGGTATTCGGTATCCGTTTTTGTTTCCCTCTTGGGAAAAAAAAAATACGGATATGTCCTTCGTGGACCCCAGTCAACTTCCCATCTCAGCTACTCGAACAGCCATACTACAGTCAAACCCCCCTGTTAAGATGACGTAATCAGGACCGTGAAAAATATCGTCATATAGAGGATATCGTTTAAAAGGATATCATTATCTAATCCAGCTATCTAGGCTACTTTGTACCCTTGATGCCTCTCATACACTTCCTTTTGCCGTCTTTAGTCGTTCTAATACTCTCAATGTCAGGCCAATTTCCAGCTCGCTGTCGTAGCGCAGTAGTATTTGGAGCTTCCTCGAGTTTCGCAAAGGTCTTGCTCAAGGACTCAGAGACTGTGGACTGGCTCAATCGATAGCCGTAATCAGCTAAGAGTCACTCAATGCACTGTTTTTGTGTTGGTTTTGGGACCCGGCGGTGCGCTCATCGTCGCAGAGCACGTCGTTGCCCCACAGAAATTCTCTTTTTTGGCGGCATTGTTAGCACCAATCTAGCAAAGAAACCCTGGTTAAGATGATATTTAGAGGTTGAAGAACGATAATCGGGAATCGGTAAATGTATGTGAACGAAGTCTATTCTGTAAAAAATATAGTCTTAAAGAGGATCGTCTTAACAGGGGTCTGACTGTAGTCTTGGTTGACTACAGATCCCTACCGGTTCAACTCGTACGCACAGCCATTGAAGTTTGTGCATCTATTTATGCATTTCGTTGTTAGGAAATACCTGCATGTAGCCTGGAGCTTGTCTTATACTCACCGCCCATCAGGGCTAAGGTAGATGAGCTCGACTGGAGTGGTCTAGAAAATAGTTGATTAACTTTTGTCTACCTCACGAAGTTGGTCCATCGAATATGCTGATTGGATCCCGGACAAGACATATCCCTCATTCGGGATAAATCTAAGACTCCCCACAATCTGGGCTATCTACAGCTGATGTGCAGCGCCGCCCTAGCAATTTCAGTCGGCAGTTATCTTCATTCTACGACTATGCTAATCCAACAAGTGACTTCTTTTGGAAATAATATGAGGCGTTAAATGAATAAGCAGATGCCCACAGCTTGCAAGAATTGAGCTGTTCTCACTCCACTAAAGGCCACAAGGAATTTTGAGACGGGATCATGATCAATCTCGAAAAGACACGACGTATTTAAAGCTTGTATCGTGTAAATGTATAATATGCGGCCCCGTTAGTGTAGATTCAAGCTTTGTTCAAAACTTTTCACTAGAACCAGAGTCTAACTGTACGTGAAGTAGCTCCTCCCAGCCAATTATCAGACCCAATAATGCCATGGTAAATCCAAGATCATAGTCTTTGAAGATCAACTAGTCCTTTTCAGGATGCTATGGAATGCGTAAAAATGATGCTAATGGGGTTTATGGCGAGAGTGTGGGGTCTAGATCTACAAGAATAAAGCTTCGGACGGCAGCAAAGAGAAATCAATAATTCATCACCAGGACCCACTGGATTCCATAAGTAGTCACAACTGCTTGATCCATGCTGACTGGACATGGGCTTGATAGCAAAAAAGTCCATGAACATATGCAACACCGGACTATATAGTGACGGTTCTGGCCCTTCTAACATAAAGAGTATTATTATCCAATTATCTATCAATTAATAAATATGAAATTCCCAATCAGTCTTGCAACACTTGCTATCAGCACTGTGGCATCCGCCTACTGTGTACCGCCCTCACCCCAATCATCCATAGTTGAAGGACAACAGTTCATTTCAGAAAAACTTAGAATTCCTGGCCAAAATGAGTTGCAATATTGTTCAAGTCAATTTAAAAGAGGTCCCATCACCTTTTCTGATGTATCGACTAAGCCAAGGGTGCCAGTGGTGTAAGACAAAATAATATAGACATTTTCTCTTCTTTCAACTGACTTTAAATTAGTAACCAGCCTTTTGAGGTGGACATGAAGGGTACTCTCCACGTTCCTCTGAGTAGCCGGGCAAAAATTCGGGTTTATGATTTGACCACTGATTATGATCTCACGGAACCAATCGACTTTCTCACGTATATGAAAAAGAATGGGGCGGAAGTCCCTACCAACGTGGGAGAATTTCATATCCGCTTTACATTTACACCCCAACTTGCTTATGTGAGTTTTTAAATTCCTTCCTGAAGAGAGATATGGCTGACTCTTCAATAGCCCCCAAAGATTGGTATTGAGCTGTATAATTCCGAAAGATCCTTGTTACTCTGTGTCAAGACTCTCCTCTTTTTTTAAAAAAAACGAAAACAATCATCCAGCTCGTCGTTGTTTGATGGAAAAAACCCCTTGATTTATCCCTGAGCACATGAAGAACAAAAAATTTATTGAACAGAACAAAAATTAAAATTTACTCCTTATCGGTTCAATCCAAGCGTACAGCTATATTAGGTTCTATGAGCAAAATCTATATTACTTTCTCCTTTTCTACTACCTACCTTCACGGGAATATAAGTGGCACGACGATCCCAATTGCCGACTAAGCTGTCATGTGATCTGGTTAACAGGGTTGTCATTGTTGCAACCACATTGGCATCCTCTTTCAATTCTTTGTTATCTCTTCAATTTGGCATCCTCATTTGCGTTGAAATTAGAGTGACTCTTTGTGCCCATTAGATAATGTTTCCTCAAAAGCATATAATTTCTGGCTCAAGGGTTTTTCAACAATAACTTCGACTCCTAATAATAGTAAGTCCGTACTGATGAAACGTCATAGTGTCGTTTAGGTTTAGTTTGTACATGGCATACTGAGGGTTGTCTCTGCTATTGATCAACCTAATTTCTGCTATCTCCATCCCTTCGTACGATTGGTACAGGTCCATAATGTCAATCATCAATACTTTCTTCTCGGTTGGTCTTAGCTTGACAAGACAACCGTGTAGGGAGTGGTTGTCTTTACAGATCACGAAAGGAATTTATGGCAAAAGATTTTGGAGAAGAAACTAGTCTTTACTAGCTGTTGAGAAAGTGCTGGCGCCTGCGTCTACCAAAATTCCCTACTATTATACTCTACCGTATCTCTCGAAAATCAATGCTTAATGTTGATCTACCGGCAAAGAGAGTAAGGATGAGAGCGTTACTAGATTTACGGGCGAGAGTTGCATTAATTGTGGAGAGTTTGAAATCTACTGCTGTAGCACACATTTATCTTCATCGGCGAGCCGGTGATTGTAACCTTGGCAGGCTAGTCAGCATACTTGTTATAAGTATTCTGTTTCAATTTCAGTGCTGCTTCCTTCGCCGTATTCGTTGTGGCCAATTCCTTTGTATTTAGCGAGGTAAACATCGAAATTTGGGGCTTGACTGGTCAAAGTACAATCGGTCAAGTATTGCTTTTTCATACGGTCGCGCTCTTGAGTGTGCTTCGTAAACCAACAACCCTCCTTCTTTCAGATATAGCATACCATCTTCTATTCCATCTGAGGTCTTCAGCGGTAACCTCCCTCAACTTCCCTAACTAATCATAAGTATAGATTTCTTTAAATTTTGTTGCTATTGTATCTAAGGTCGAGGAAGAATTGGTTGTTATCGAATTGCTGTTGGAATTGTGACTGTGATTCTCGCCTTCGAGCCTTTTTCATTGTGAACATCTCTAGTGTCGCGCGAAGTCGCGAAAACAATTCTTCACAGCTCGCTCCCGGATTGAAGAAGGCTGCTACCGGTTCTAGTGCTTTCCTACTACTAGTGATGATTTGAGTCCTTAAAAGGCTCTCTCCTGCATACATATTATCCAGTGCTCTTTCACAAAGCAGTTTTCGATTGATAAATAGATGCAGGACCTTCTGCAATGGCCTGTCCGGAATTTTGTTGCGGAAGTCGGTGAAGATAAGATGTGTCCAGTCGGCATAGTAATTGTGATGATTTATCTCGGTGTCAAAGTAATATTTGAGCTTCATATACTGTATGTAGAAAGTGGAGCTCTTTAGTATGTAATTCATGTAAAATGCTTGGGCCTCCCACGCTAGTATATATGGAAATAGGCCGTGGAAGTGTTAGGGATGTTTGTTCAAATTACCGTAAATTCGGAGGAAACTGTGCACCTGGTCGTCAAATACATCACAAGCTTTACCAGTGTACTTTAGAGATAGTTCCCACATCTTTGTGAAAGAGGTTTGTGTATTGACATCGACTCTTTCACATGGCACCTCACGTAGTAGGAGGTCTTCATAATCGGCAAAGGGTTTACTTCCACCTTCTGCTGTATTTGCTCTTCATTCCTGAGGATACGCGGAGTTTCTGAGGGGGGGGTTAATCGCTTTTCCATGTGTTGGGAATTCTGACTCTCGAATTTAGGACTCAACCACTACCTGTTTCGTCTCAGGTTCCCGACAAGATCGACTCTCTCTACACATGTCACGAGTGCGCTTATCGCGCCTACTGTTGCATATACGTTTGGATATTTGCGTACTACAGTGTATCTTGGCTCATCATGGTAGATGAGAGGTGGCTGGTCATCACTAGGTTTGACAGGCACATAAGAGTAGTGGGAATTTCTCCCCTTAGATGTATATATAAGTCCAATGTTTCCATAGTTGTAAAATCATCAAGTCTTCTTTACTTCATCATATTTATCCATATAATATCGTACAGAGTATATTTTCCAACACCATGGGCATGGAGAATTTTGTCAAGCTGGTCGTATTGGCGGCTGGTACGAGGGAGAAAGAGATTGCAGTCTTTGGCGTGGAAACTGATTTGGGTCTGCCATTTGTTGCTGTTGGTTGGGTGTTTGGGATCGCCGTTGGGATTGTGGGTTCTGTGTAGGATTTTGCGGCTGTGAACCGGGTTATGAAGGTGATATTGTGAGGCGAGGGGTAGGTGTTATCACATTAATTTCTAGGCCTTCGATCGATAGGCAGACAGCTATTGGATAATATTGAATTTCTAGAGTTGGTTCTAAACTTTGGGGCGAATATGAACATTCTTGTCGCAAAAGTGCGTCGAATTCAGGTCCTATTGCCATAAACTTCTTGCCAATGTATTACCCATTGCTATGGAAATAGTCACGGAACCCTCTTCTGAAAGGACTTTTGGTTTTTTGTAACATTTCCGTTATCCAAACGTCGATTTCATCCTTGAATACGAAAAAGAGGGTTTTCCCTCTTACGTTGAATCCTCCCATTGAAGTCCTCTCATTCAGTAAATAATCATACCACATATGTAGTGAGCGCAGTTGGTGTTCATGTCTTTTCTACCGACATTTCCCAAGTGTTTATTTCCAGTCTATCGGCGTACTTTGGTGAAAGTCTTGTACCTTCAAGAAGCCCGTTAACCTTCTCTCTCAACTTGAGCTCCGTCAATACCTGCTGTTCCATTGCTTGTGAGTTACTTTTTGGAGCACCAGATGGCCCTGCACTTATTTCATCTGCCATCTTTGGGAGCTGGAATCTTGAAGTTGCCGGATTGCTTCTTTCTAGACTCGTCGTGCTATTGCTTTAATCTCCCGCTAATCTTTCATAGGCTAACCGATGAAAGATGGAGTAGACAGCTTATTGGTTGAATTTTCACGTTGTCTCTCCCGGTAAATCGTACACAGGCGAACTGAGGGAAGGCGGAGAGAAGATCTTAGTCTTGGAACTAAGCTGGTCTGTGGTCTTAAATTGACCACTGATCAGTGTCGGTAAATTTCAATTGTACAGCTGTAAGAGATTCAACGAGTAAACTCTATGTTGTTTTCCTCTCTTCTACTATCTAGCTACATATGAAATTAAGCGGTACAAGTGTATGATCGAATGAGGACTTGTGAGGGTTGGTACTGTTTGAGGGTAGCTGTGTGTGAGGCATGGGAGGCATGGGAGGGGGTACACTACGGGCATAGGTATCTTTGGCCTGTAGACAGAGAGGACCTGCACGTCCTTGGCAAGGGATGAATGATTGTGGTCATAAACTGTATGATGAACAGATTTACTACAGATCTAGATAGAGGTTCAAGGTGAAGGACCAATCTACAACTTGCTTTACAGGAGAAACACAGGTCTGAGCTTTCGCAATACCGAGCAAGTTGGCCCACGAGGCAATGATTCAAAATACTCCACCGCGTCAATTTTCCACTCTCAAGGAGTCCTACTCATGCCCGAGCCTCATCAAATCTACAAGTACGACCTAGTGCATCCTCATTCCAATGATCACACCTCTTGCCGACTTTCTCTGACCTCAGCTGGTCACTAAATACACGCCCACGCCGATATTTACACCCGACGGAGGACACAAAGCGTGGCGCACAAATCTGGGAGACAGTTCTTTGGGATGGGCGTGAGAGGATTCAGGACGAGTTCATAAGATGATGCAGAGGATGGATACAGTCTCGACGGGCCTGGAGTCATGAATTTTGGCGAGGAGTTTTACAAATTGAGCTTTGTGCGCGCCAAGACTTTGCTTGCGAGAGTAAAGGCGACACAGTAAATACCGCCATGGCTGGATGGTGCGGTGGTACATCGTCTTGGCTGGTCTGCCAAGTAGAGTCTGGATAGCTTGGACACATATCCCACTCGAGACAGGAGATCGCTGGTTCAAATCCGGCAAAACACAACCACATGTCTCATGACGAAGGTGTGCTTGGATGACCAAAGGTTTTGAATCGTCCCTTGGGTGGGTACTTACGGAGGAGGGTCGACTGTTTAGGTAAGCGAACATACCTTTTTTTATTATTATGTTAAAGCCCTAAGCTAAAGCTCTAGGTCTCTATCGGTACAAGACTGGTGGAGCCGGCGGGGATCGCTGCTTACAGGCCCAACTCATTCCGACCGCGAGAACTTCACCAAAAGTAGATGAAGTTAATAACAAAACCTAAATCAAAGCGTAAATCAAAAAAAAAAAACTGAAATCAAATTTAGAAGAATTTCATGTGTGGTCCAGATCCCGCGCTTCTCACCCGTTTCCTTCCCTGTCACATCTTCCAAGTGACTTTTCCTAATCTCCGCTGAGAGCGAAAGATGAGCTCTCAGGTAACCTTTGCTGTCGGTCGGTTTCCTGCTTTTTGTTGTGAAAGTTGTCGTAGACTTCACCAAGGACTGCCGAGTCCTCAAACTTGTTCTTTGGATTCCAGAATTCCGAAACCCGATCCCTCCGCCATGGAGACATACCTCGCAGAGGCGTTCCTCGCCGAGACAATCATCGCCTCTTCGGCCTTTTTGTATGCAGCTTTGTAACGGGCAAAGGCTGCATATCTTCTTTGCTCGACTTTGCGAATTGCCGCGAGCTGCGTACATACCTTGTCTTGTCTTGTTCATTTACGTGCT